TTATTAGAATATTTTTTGCTGGGAAAACTTGTAGTGTAGACATAGCCTTAGAGAAGAGAAGAGTCCATTCTGAATTCCATATAAATTCCCATAAACCTGAGGGGAAATACACTGTGTATTGTTAAACTACTAAAATGCAGACAATTTGAAAGTCAGTTGTGGACTGTATTCAGTATACGTTCTACACAGTTGATAAATATTATTTTAGCAAAAATCAACAAGTCCCTTTCAAGGAGGTATCTTATACTTTTGTCATCAAGGTGAGACATTAAAGAAAAGTGATAGTTTGAATGAGCTAAAGGACAACATCAAACAAACTTTATTCTATCATTAATGAATGTTGAATTGAAAAATTAGCATTCAGACCTTGTCATAGGCAACAGTAAATAAGGAGAAAAATGGACACAGTCTGTCAGCAGGATTGAATTTAAGAACCATCAAAAGCAGACAGAGCTTGCTGAGCAGCTCCTGAGTTAATAATTAAACAAGGTAGAGTTCAAGGCATGGCTTAAGATGAAAGACTAAACTGTCACTGAAAATTAGTTTCTCTTTTTTTGTTATTTTAGGCTTTTTTCATTTTTTATGGCATTTCATACTGTTGAGTGTCATTTATTGTGAACAGTGAATTGGGTGAATATAACTTTTATCAATATTATAATAAAAATCTTTTCTGACAAAAACATTTATTTATTGGAAAAATTATCTCAGTGTAGATGTAGATAACAACGGTTATGAGGAGGTTGTGATTTAGCATCAATAATTATTAAACACTGAAGCAACAATGGATTACTAGCTATGGAACCATTTTATGAAAAATTATGAAAGCTTTATGGCCTTATGTAGAGGAGTTTTTGGCATTAGTTTTATTATGTAAGTAGCCATTTGTCCGTTTCTCTCTCATATGTTCAGCCATCTCTGCCAGAAACCTTACTTTATCATTATCCATAGCAGTTGTCCTGTGGTAAGTGTATGTGTAGGAAGATATTTGGGAAAAGTTATTAATTAAAAGATGAATTAATGGTCTAAATCATCGAAGTCAGCAGAGCCCTTCAGGACTTGTATCTAAAGCCTTGCATAGTTACAAAATTTTGTATCTACATCTGTATCCACAAAAATGAGCCACAGATATCCATGTCTTTGCATGCACATACCTGTGGATATAAAGCGGTTTTTTGCAAAATGCAGGGTTCTAGTTACAAAATTTTTATCTGTATCCACAAAAGTGAGCCATGGATATCCGCATCCACATCTGTGGATGCAGATACCCTCAGATATAAAGTGCATATCTGCAGATTTGCAGAGCTCTGCTTATATCAATGCAACTCAGATAGGAATATTTGAGGGAGGTGGTTGTTTAGTATGTAATATTACTTAAGGTCCTGAAAGTGATGTCGTCTCCTGGAAGCTGAGTATCACCTCTATAATATAGCTAGCCGCTTCAAAGAGTTGAAAGCATAGTGTTGCTCCTTAAATTTTTTTCCTCCAGAACGCTCATGCTGTATATTTTACTAGACTCTGACTATTTATGGTAAAAGGCCCTTAAGAGCTTGTATCACATAATTTATTATATTTCTTAGTAAGAAATATGTTGTGCTGCTAGAGGGCATTTCACCTCCTAACTTTTTAAATAATAATTTGTGGGAATATTGATACTTAATGTTGACTGAATATTTTTATTTATAATTGTTAAGATACAGAGGAACTCACAGTCCCTACCCTGAGGATTTTACAGTGTAAATTAAATGGATAATTCAAAATGTACTGAGAGATGCAAAGCAAGACTCTGATTTAGAACTTTTGTATCTTTTTTTTTCCAACTTTTTTGCTGGCATGGGTTAGTGTTTACATTTTAAAAACCTTTTAAGGAAGGATGTGTTTCACAAGTGAAAATGCATGGAGGAGGAGGGAATTCCTTATTGATGGGCGACAGTAATTTCAAAGTCTGAATCTGTAGAAAAAACTCATGAAGGCCAAAAGAAATCAGTGGTTTTAGAAAATTTTTGATGACTCCTATTTGGAAATTGAGAGGTAAATCCATCCATGGAGTATAATACAAATACTTCATGTGATTAGATTAATGTACAAATCTAGATTGCGAAAGCCTTCAAAGAGTTTAATATAGTCTTTTATGCTTAAAAGGCCAAATTCTTAGCTCGGATGTAGCTGCTTTGACAACTGGTTCAGATCCTGATTTTGCATTAAGCTCCCTTCAGACAGCCTCCAGATAAAAGATCCATGTAGTCCAGGAGCTCCAGTGACTCATATTGTGCAGTGCATGTTTCAAAAGGAGTACCCAACAGCTGCTGGCGAAGCTGTGGAGAAGAATGCCCGCATTACACTGAGCAGCCTACCAGCCACAGTAGAGGATTCAGGAATATTCTTGAATGTGCTCTTAACTACAGACTAGATGAATGATTAATTAATATTACATATACATAATAAAACTACCAACTGTTTTCATGTAATATATAAAAGATATTACCCTTATTTGAAACTATTACTGTATTTTGTTCTAAAACTTATTATAATTAGTGCAGTTTTCCTGTAAATTATAACACCATTTCATTGCATGCTACAAGCCTCTTAGGGGATTGGCTTTGTTGTGCCCCACTTGACATCTTAAGTTATCCGTGAAGACACTATTCTCATTGGCAATTAAGTTGATAACTTTTTTTTCTTGCCAAATTTCTCCCAGCTGGCAAAGTGGGATATCCTCCTTATCTTATCATATTGTTCAGTCTATTGGGTACAGGATGTCTGAAAGCTGCTATTTGTCAAAAACAAGATCATAATCTCCACTAGCTACATGACAAATCCTGTAACTTAAAAGTAAAATATACTTGACTTTATTTGTTGTCCAAACAAACCAGACCCTGCAGCTGGCTTTTTGCACTGATGGAAAAAGGCTCTCTTAAAATGAAACACAAGTGTATGGTTAGGATTCGTGTGTTTGAGAAAATATTTTAGACTGTTTTGCAAAGCTTGAGTAATGCTGTTCTGATTGCATGAGTGTTTCAGAAATGTCTACAGGCACATTTAAAATGTATTACAAAACTTGAAGATGAATGGAGTTGACAGATGTTTGAGTTTTTACTTTCCTTTTAACCAAGAGTGAAAATATTCTTCCACTTCCTTTCCCTTCCCCCACTTCCAAACCTTTGTTAATATAAAAATAACTTTGATTTGAACATCCTGAAAAGGCAGCTGTGTCTTATTTTCCCACCTCTACCTCCTCAGGAATTCTATTCTAATTTCCTTATACACTAAAATCACTTTAGGAAAGAATGGAAAATAGAAAAAAATCTTTTTTCTTTGAAATTCTCAGATATTTTCATGCTGAACATAGTGAAACTGTGTTTAACACAATTTTCAGTGTACGTTTATAATTTAATGAAAAGGGATTAATTATAAAGAGAGGTGGTAAACACAGAGGCTGTGTCTAGACTGGCAGGTTTTTCCGCAAAATCATCTGCTTTTGCGGAAAAACTTGCCAGCTATCTATACTGGCCGCTTGAATTTCCAGAAAAGCACTTAGGATCTCATGTAAAATCATCAGTGCTTTTCCGGAAAAACTATGCTGCTCCCGTTCGGGCAAAAGTCTTTTTCCGAAAGACTTTTGCGCAAAAGGGCCAGTATAGACAGCATAGTACTGTTTTCTGCAAAAAAGCCTCGATCGTGAAAAAGGCGATCGGGGCTTTTTTGAGGAAAACCGCGTCTAGATTGGCCACGGACGCTTTTCCGCAAAAAGTGCTTTTGCGGAAAAGCATCCTGCCAATCTAGATGCGCTTTTCCGAAAATGCTTTTAACAGAAAACTTTTCCGTTAAAAGCATTTTTGGAAAATCATGCCAGTGTAGACGTAGCCAGAGAGAAGCTGGCAGGGAATCAGGAATACCTGTTTTCTAGTCATGACTCTGGCTGTTTGTGTCCAGGGTTTTTTTCTCTCTCTGTTCCCAATTTCCCATTTTTCAAAGGGGGATCATACCACCTACCCCATGACATAATGTTTGTATTTGTAAATTGTATTTGTTAATATGTGTAAATTGATATGAAGACGTACTGAAAATGTATAAAGCATTATTGAATATTGCAATATGTATATTATAATCAGTCCTATTAGTAGCCCCTAATTTATAGCATGCCACACTTAATCAGTAGATCTCAAAATATCTCCTATGCACATATGAACACATTTAGTCAGAGAAACAGTATTTTATGAATGGAAAATGTCTTTTATCAGCTGCTGTATCATGTTGTTTTTGCAATCTCTTGGATGTGACACTAAGAGACTGACTGCAATAATGAACAACTCCTGAATTCAGCAGTTCTTTGGTACCTCAGTATATTTATTACAAACATGTATTGGCCATGATTTCATTTTAATAACGAAATAAATAAATAATTATAGTAAATATTGGGAGTCAATTAGGTGTACAAATTAAATGAATTGGATTCCATAACATTATAAAAACTATAGAATTTTACCTGATGCACATATATATGTATAAAAATCTAATAAATTTCTGTATATGACCCACTGTGTGTGTGTGTGTGTGTGTGTGTGTATATATTATATAACACACACGTATGAGTCTAGAAATTTTTTCTGTTTTGAGCTCTGTCTTCTATGCAGGCTGTCTATATTGTCGTTGATTGTTGTGTTGTTTCTAACAGGTATGAAATACTAAAATACGATATCCTCAATAGCAGTTTTTTCTTTACATTTGTTTTGCTTCATATTACTTACAAATGCTTTATAGAAATCTAGTGCAAGTATTGTTCTAGTTTGGGCTTGGAGGCAGAGGTCACTCTTTACTTTGTTTGAAACATGTATATTTTGAAAGCTTTGATACATTATAGAATTTACTGTCATGATTGATGACAGCTTTGCTTTTATAACTCTTATTTCTTTAGACCACCAGAGAACTGCAATTGCTCTAGGCTGTTGAATAACAACAGTGATGTGCACTAATTTATTCTTAACAATGACCTATTCTTGTAGAACCAGATGGTCAAAGAACTGGAGGCTCGTGTCCAGCAGCTGACTGTAGAGGCTGAAAATAGTAATTCACAGCGTCAGAAATTATCTCAAGAAAAGACTGATCTAGAGCAATGCTACCAAGCAGCGTGCACTGAACTGCAGGAGGTGAAATCAAGGTAACTAATACAAACCAAAGCACGTGAGAATTACAAAATCAAACATCATGCTCTCTCTTGAAGAAAATCAGTGCTCAGTAATTGAGCATCAGGAAATTGTTATGAAAATTTACCAATGGGCAAAACTCACTTTTTGATACTCACCAAGATGATGGTCATAAAAAAAACATAATATATTTTGCCTTGTCCAAATGTATTTAACATTATCAATTGAGAAGAATAGGAAGGTGAGCAGAATTTTGCAGAAGCTTCAGAATTTCATAAAGCAAATAAAATGCCAATATTTGAAGCCAATTGCAATTTTATTTTTCCTTTCTTAATACTTGAAGGTGCAACTCCCTTCAGAAAGAGAAGGATCGCATTATACAAGATTATGAACAGAATATTCAACAGCAACAAAACAAATATGATATTGACATAAATTTTATGAAACAGGAACATGCTCTTTCTGCAGCTAAGGTATGTTTACAGACATACAACCGCCCAGGAGTAATGGGTATAAAAATGCTTGCTTACCAATTTACATACATAAGGGACAAATTTTCAAAATGGACTATAAGCTTCAGTCTTTTAAATACTATGGCACATTAATTACTTTACTCAACGGAGCTGCTCATTTCCCTAAGATTACTCATATGCTATGATAGCTTGGGAGATATGTCTATACAGCTTTTGAAGTTTGGTATTGTGAGTCAAGTTATGAAATTACTGTATTTTAATGCCTCAATATGTATGTTGATTCCTGCAGGTGGGGATGTGTCTCATCCTCCTGACCCAGACCGTTTACAGGGGAGGATTGGTTCTTAGAACTCTGAGACACCTCTTCAGGTGAAAGTACCTGGGAACATTGGGTGAACTCAAATCCAGGAAAACTAGTTTTATCCAACCTCTCTGCAGGGATGAGAGGATATAAGAGCAATGGAAAATAATTAAAATATAGAACAGAAAAAGTTGGGTGTTGGAAATGGAGTCTGTAAATAGAGCAACAGGAAGTTTGGGAAGGAGAGAGTATGAGCATGGCTAAGAGATGGCAAGGCAAGGTGGGTAAGAAGACTCCATGAGGGAGACGTAATAGATCATGTGGGGGCCTGCATGAGGGAGAGAATCCTGCCTGCCTTCCTAAGCCCAGAGACTCCCAAGGGAAATATGAACTAACAAAGGGCATTGTTTTGTGTTTGATTTGTACTCTTTTGTGCATGATATGCCTACATTAAAGAGCAATAATGTGCAAGACTCCTGTGTAAAATGTGTCGGTGTGTCATAGACTTCACAACAGCCACATTCCTCCTGAGAGAGTTAAATGGTAAACTATTTAGCTGAGCTCTTGTTTTGCATATATCAATGTTAGGTAATAGGTTCCAAAGAACTTGGACAAGCTAATTTTGACACCAAATCTCTAACGGTATGTCTACATTAGTCCCCTAGTTCGAACTAGGGAGGCTAATGTAGGCAATCGAAGTTGCAAATGAAGCCTGGGATTTAAATATCCCGGGCTTTATTTGCATGTTCCCGTCTGGTCGCCATTTTGAAATTCCACTACCCAAAGTAACTGCCCGTGGCTACACGCGGCAGTGAAACGGCAATTCGAACTAAGTCCTTGGTTCGAATTAACTGTTACACTTCATTCCAGGAGGAGTAACAGTTAATTCGAACTAAGGACTTAGTTCGAATTGCTGTTTCACTGCCGCGTGTAGCTGTGGGCAGTTACTTCGGGTAGTGGAATTTCAAAATGGTGACCAGATGGGAACATGTAAATAAAGCCCGGGATATTTAAATCCCAGGCTTCATTTGCAACTTCGATTGCCTACATTAGCCTCCCTAGTTCGAACTAGGGGACTAATGTAGACATACCGTTAGAGATTTGGATGAGGCCCCTTTGAAAATGTGTTACCAAAAAATGTTACCAAAAAAGTAACTAAGAAAATGTTTTTCTTCGGGCATATATTAAAATATTTTCCTGCCTTTATTCATGAAACATTTTGTTACATACATCTTTGAACTCAAACTTTTAAATATTCAGCAAAAAATACAAAAAATTAGGGTTTTTTTATAAGAAGACTTGGTGATAGGTTGTCGAGCCTACATCACATTCACATCATAAATATATCGTTAAAAATTGCACATTTCCAAAACTGTAGCTATTCTAAACTATTGATCACCTTAGAGCAAACATGGAACCAATAGTTTGGTTTTAATTATTGGAATGCTAAAATCTTTCATAAGAAAATGCGAAATGACTGAGTCCATTTTATTTTCAATTTTTTTCTTAAAGTCAGCTAGCTGCCTGTTTGTTTTGTTTCTAATTTTTGTGTGTTAATTTTTTACTATAGTCCCACTTGCACTTTTAGGGACAAATAGAAATGAAATACATATAACTTGTGTTAAAAAAGATTGTCTATTCCAAGTTTATATTTTTTTTTT